GATAGCGACGATGGAAGAACCAAATCAACACCTACGATTGCACTAACGTGTATTATCCCAGAGGTGTAAACATAGTTACTGAGAACCTTTAGCTTGTCATATCCCACCTTAGTTGGAATTCACAAGTATTGTTTGGATGGTTATAATCACTTCTTGTATCTGTATAAGGATGGGAGATATCATCATAAGCTCCCTATGCAAACTATCGTGTGCATGTGGAGTTATGATGATGTTTTAGTGACCATTGACTGAAGCAACAAGTTAGCCCACTTTCCATTGGTCCAGAGGTACTATATTTTAGACCACTTGGTAAAATTCCTCATTCTTGAAATTATTAGATTTCTCGAGCGTTTAGACCAGAGTTTATTCTGACGAGGATTCCATATTCACCTCTTTATGTTGGAAGGTACCCTAGTCAATCTTGGGTCCGTGTCTACTCTACTACACTTTGTATTATTCTTGTAATAGACAAACCGTCTAAAAGAGTTGCTCAGACATTGAAATCTAGTTGTGATCATTAATTTCTTAATCACCCAACAAATACTCTGCTAATCGAATCTTAACCATTGGTGATTGAATGCTCCATAAACTACCAAGGTAGCAAAATGTTATGCATTAATCCTAGTTACCTTATATTCTAGATTTGTTGGACTTGTTTTGACTCTCAAACTCTTGAGTGTTCTTTTGGCCTCTCGACTTAATTTTTTGTTGAATTCGAGAGGAATTTAATATGAAGCTGCTCGCTAAGGCATTATGGACTACATTGTACGATTACATGGTACGTTTGTCACTTTTGTATCTCACGACGCATGGTTCACTTCAAAGCATTGGGAAGTCTTCTTGAAGGCTATGAATACGAAGTGTTACCCGTTACTGCATGCCATCCTTAGACTGATGGTTAGTCTCAACAAGCTACACAAACCTTCATGTACGTGTTGCATTTTATTCGTTCTACATCCTTGGTAAGTTTGTAGCAGACATTTATTTTTATTAGGGTTGTGTGTAATTGCGGTTACACTTTTGATTTTTGGGTATGACATAGCTTAAGACATTGTATGGGGACTTTATGCCCAATGCATAATTGGCAGGTGAGTATTACGATCTAATATTTGAATGTTCGAGATTATGATATAGAAAATTTTATATTATCGACCATGTTGCCCGAGAGGGTAGTTCGTGAGCATAATCAAGGCTTTGATTACACGATTTATGTGTATTTCTCAATGGGGGGCATGATGGTAATATTGCACCCTTGAGATTTTGTTACTTACTTATCGAAACAACAGTGAGTTGTTGGTATTGCGGGCTGCAAACCGTAATATTGAGAACTTATTTGTTGAACTCGTTAAGTAAGTAGACATTTAGGTCCGTCTACGTTAGTATTTTAGCTATTTATACGTTTAGTTATTTATTTATTGTTTGGACTTAACCCAAAAATGCTATGCACTTATTCTCGAAGTACGATATGCTACGAGTGTTTAAGTGAAATCTTTCTATGTTCGGTTTTGATTTCAGTACTATTATTTTAACTTCATTCTATTATATATGTATTTTGACGACATGTTACCATATATCTATCTTCAACTTTATGTTTTGAGAAAATTTTAGTATTGAACTGAAGGAGAAAGAAAGTAGGAGTTTGGAGGCATAAAAGAGGAATCATTGCACTCCGATCACGACGAAATGGAGTTCTCTTTTATACAACTGCTCTAGCTTGATTTCTTCTTTATATATATACTTTCTCCCTACCTTTTGGAGTTTTTATGTATAAAAAATGATTTCAAATTTCGGGGACTAAATTTTTTTAAGGTGGGTAGATTGTGACAACTGTCCCTAATTTTACATTTTATAAATTTTAAAGATGTGAATTTACGAAAATGTCCCTAGAGGCGAAAGCATTGACTTTCATTTACTAGCGTATAGTGAGACATACGAAGTATTGTTTTAGCATATTTGTATAGTACTCGACGATACTAACACATGAGTGCAAGCAAAATTGAATTTGGAGCTAAAATGAAGATTTTACGGAACTCGGAACAATAAGGGCATTTTGGGTAATTTTTGCATTGGAGATATTTCTACATTTTTGGAGCACACTTGCGCTGACAGGTGCCAAGATTCCCCATTTTTATGGGGGGGGGTTCTTTTCTGTCCAGTGATCTCTCTTTCACTTTCTCTATTTTCTTCTTCTTTCACCCTCAGTCACCTTCACTCTTTCTCCTCCTCTTTTGCTCCTCCTCTTTTTCCGAGACACACACACCCATACCTCTACACCTGCAACCACAACAAGGCAACACCCCCACCATCATCCCTTGCAATCCTTGTGAGCCATTGGACCTAGAAATAGGAGAAAAGCACCTTGAAAACAACCACCCCACACTGCACAGTACCATCATTGTGCATCACTCTTCTCCAGTTAATTTTGACCATTTCTGACCAAGGTAAGCCTCAAAATTGGTCCCTAACATTGTAGATCATGTCTAGGTTCATGATTGGTAAGTTTTTGGGTGGTTTTGGTGGTGTAAGAGCTCGGAAAAAACAAAGGATGGTCACTGCTCATTCTAGAAATTTCCAATCCGTGGTCATTTAGCCACTTTCTAGCCATTTTTCCGGTCAACTCTGATCTCCATTGGGCCTCCTAAGGACTAAATGCATCGCAAGGATTCTCGATGCTACGAGGCAGGTTTGACTTGGTGACATGATCAGTGAGTGGGCATTTGTTTTCATACATATATATCTTACGGTTTCCAGAAATGTTTTAAATTGATTATGCATAGCATGCCATGATTTGAATGTGTTATATTTAAATATTGCATTATGATAAGATCAGTGAGTGGGCATTTGTTTTCAAACATACATACACACACACACACACACATATATATATATATATATATATATATATATATATATATATATATATATATATATATATATATATATATATATCTTACGGTTTCCAGAAATGTTTTAAATTGATTATGCATAGCATGCCATGATTTAAATGTGTTATATTTAAATATTGCATTATGACGAGATTTGTGATTATGTCAAATTATCTTACGGAGGCGCAGGTAAGTTCAGGTAAGTTATTATGTGATTGAAATGGTTGCATTATATGAGCATGCATATATTCATTTAGAGCTCATCAGGCTGCACTTTGGTGTTAGTGCTCCATCCCTAAGCCAGGGCCCAGCCTTCAAGTGTATGTTCACCTCTCGCACCGCAAGCTCGCCTTAGATCCAAGTAGGTGCTAGCCTATCGTACAGACTACATTAGGCATTTACAAAAAGTAGGTGACCCGCAATTTATCGCTAACCATCACGTGATCATAGCACTAGAGCATACATATTTACACCCAGCCTGTCGTATAGGTCACATTAGGTGACTTCGACTCGTGAGCTAGCATAAAGTGATGAGCAATAAGTTCAGTCGTACAGGTCACATTAGATGACTTCGACTGGCATGCTAGCTAGACTGATTTCACACCTGGCTTATGCTTATTATTGCTAAGATATTGTGGCATGGCATGCTTCTATTTTCACTGCACTCATGCATTCATTTTCGGGCGGATGATATATGTGTCTTTGTGCGGGCGATGTAGTTCCTTAGGGCAGATGATGTATGTGCCTTCGAGCGGGTGATAGATGTGCCTTCGAGCGATTATCATCCCACTACTAAGCACACTATATATGATATATGATTTATGAAGGTTTTATGGCATGCTAAGATTTTCGGAAAACCTACTGCCTATTATGCTATATGAGTTTTCTAAAAATTGGGGGTTAGTACGTTTGAAGAGTAGTTGACTTTAGTATTATTAATATCAAACTTGGTCCACTCATGTTTTGCTTTACACCCCCTTCAGGACTTAGAAATGAGGCGTTCGATCGATCTTGACGTTGAGGCATTCCTGTATCAGTATCTTTGAGTCCACTAGGTGTAGGACCCCTTTCTTTGAGTCCTATAAATTGTTTGAATTCTAGAAATAAGTGAATTTTCAATTTCATTTTCAAACAATACATATGTATATTGGGGTAATCTGGGTAATCTAATCCTCTTGAAATTCACAAATTAACCTATGCACAAAAAGTCACAAATTTCAGTACAAACTCAACGAAAAAAAAAATTAAACAACTTGGAAGTAAATACCTTAAGCACCTTGAACCCTACACAAAAAATGATGACCACTTCTTCCTGAAAATAAAAAAGAACCAAATCATATATGACTCAAAAAGGGCTTGCAAGCTCGCACAATAAAACCCTAAAATTGGAAGATGAATGTTTCCTACACCAAAAAATGAAATCAAATGAAACAATGACACGCAAAGTACATAAAAATAAAGAAAACGCTTAGCAAAAAAAGTGAAGAGTCGAATTTTTACAGTAATCAATTCAAAAAATTTCTTGCTAACCAAACAAAAAATAAAGCCCAAACAGAAAATAAGGCAATCCATGAACAAACACACCTAAACCGTGGAAAACAACGAGAAAAACAGGCCAAACACCCTTCCACACGATCCTATCAGAATCGAAACCAAAAGGCAGATGGAGAAATAAAGAGAAACAGAAAGACAGAGAGAAGAATTGAAGAGGAAAGTGAAAAGTGGAAAATGCTGGAAAGTATCTTCCTTAGAAAGCACAACACGCACGCACGGGGAAAAAAAATGAGAGACGAGTAAAATGGCCAATTCACCATACAACCCCACTAAAGCCTAAAAAACATGAAGAGAAAGAGGGGTAAAACCGGATGAGCACTGTTAATAATAGTACCTATCCTCTGGCTTTTAGAAGAGAGTAATGACATGGTAGGGAAGAATGGTGCCTACGAAATACGATATGTGAGAAATTTCAAAGTGGGTCACATATTTGTATCCTTTGTGACGAAAGTGGTCATCACATTTTGAACGGGGAAAGTTCCAACAAAAAAAAAACAGTGAATCAAGTATTAATTTGTTTTAGAATACTCTCTCTCTCTCTCTCTCTCTCTCTCTCTCTCTCTCTCTCTCTCTCTCTTTCCCTCTCTCCCTCTCTTTCTCTCGGACTTCTCCCCTCTCTCCATCACCATGACCCAACATCATGGCAACCATCGCAGTCTCATCTCTCAATCTTCTTCTCTCTTAACTATGACAGTACCAGGATCTTCCGGACCAACAGCTCAAACCCTATCTCATCCTTTTGCTCTCTATCACTCTCCAAAACAAAAAACACTAGAAACCCACTCAACCAACAAGCCAAATCCACAGCCCGCACCAACCCAAACTACCTCTATCTGTCGTCCAATACTTCTCTTTTTGCTCTAATTATGATTTTTGTGTTGGATGCACTGGTACGTGCCTCATTGAGCTTCCAGTAGCCCTTCACTTCCACATCCACGGATCCACCCTCCAAAGTCTTTGTTTAGGTAAAATTGTTTTTTTGTTAATTCTTTCATTATGGGTAAATGTTGAAATTATTTACCTGATTAATTTATACATGTGTAGTTTTTTGTTTTTAATAATTTGATTTTTTTTTTCTAGAATTTTTTTTGTTTGGTATGAACTTGCAGGTTAGACTTAGAATACTTGGATCTAACGGGAAGACGGGACACAGAATCGAGCGCAATGGCGTTTATGGATTCATATAGCCGATCCCACTTAGTGGGAAAATGCTTTGTTGTTATTGTTGTTGTTGTATGAACTTGCAAGTTGGAATTTTCCTGAGTTGCTTAGGTTTTTCTTGATGACTTAAGGTAGAACAATTTGGTTGGTTGTTTATACACATTAATGAACAAAGGAAAGAAAATTTGATGCAGTTTGGGCTTTATAGTTGCACTTTGAAAATTAAATCAAACATGTTCCTCCTAAAAGTTATCGTATATTATTGAGGTCAATTTGATTTTTTTAGTTGTTAGTTTGAAAGACATTTGTTGTTTGTTTTCCGGGTATGTGCTATGAACTTGTCTCCATAATATATGGATACTTATCAATGTCTGAGAGCTTCGTATAAATATTTTATTGCCTTGATTTGTTACTTGTTTCCAGTAGCTATAATTATTATTGAAATATAAATTTACATTGTTGAGGAATATTTAATATATGTGAAATGTCTGAGAGCTTTTCTTGTACTCTATGTTTAGATATTGGAAACTGGAAAGTTAATTGTTACTATCTGTGAATTTAAATGTTTTTTATGCTTGAAATATGCTTCAAGGTTAAGTAAAGTTGATTTGTTGTCTTTAATATGTTTCAAGGTGAGAGAAAGCTGATTGAGGGATCATGGCAACAATAAGAATAGGGTCTCCTATTTTGGAGCCAAACACTGATAATTTCTTATCATCTTTGCTTGCTACTACTCTATAATTAGTCTTGTAGTGTTTTCATGAAATCCATTTTTATTTGCTGTCTTTTGATTGATCTTATTTCATTTTTATGATATATGTAATCTCTTCATAAAGCTAACTCCAAATCTTAATATCTTTGATTTTGGTAATCTCTCATTCTCTAAAGCTTTGTTAGTTGATTAGTTCCGACTTCACTACTCATGTCATCTATGCTCTGAACATTTGTATTTTATGGGTTCTACCCACTATTGCGCACTCACTTTATTAGTTTAAATAAGTTCTAGTTTCGGTTTTAATTTATTCACATCGTTACATCACTTACACTTTTGATTACGTCATCCTCGGGTGATATGCCTCGTGACACACCTCGTCCCGAAGGAGGGCATGCTGGTCGTCACGTGAGAGTGACGTAACCATTTACACAGTTCGGAAGCTTTAAAGATACAATTACTAAGATGTAACACCCAAGGGTGAGTCCTACTTTTGTGAATTCTGTTAGAACACCGTTGGATTCCTTGTGGCCACCAAAGCTCTACTATCTTGAACCTGGAGGGGCGCAAAACAAAGTTGAGTGGGTCAGTAAAACAAAGTTTTTTGAAAATATTTCATTTAACAACATTTCTAACCCCTCGCTGTAAAACTTGTATACTTTCCCAGAAAATAGCATATATAAACATATATATCCATTTCAAACATATCTCAAGTTATGCTATCAACATGCCACTATGCATATGCCATGTTATGCCTCACAATAATATAAAGATGCAACGATATAACAGGTGAAGTAAGAAATCAACCAGAGACCCTGCAGTTGGTCCTGTACGGTTAATTCTATAGCTCAAAATCCCATCCAACCGGAGTCACCACTGTGACCTGTACGGCACTACTCTGCACATAAATCGGAACTACCTATAGTAGTCTGTTCGACTAGGATGGTGTAATAATACGCTTTAGTGCTTCTCTCATCAATCATTTGTGCACATAATCTAAGGTCACCTACCAGTCGGAACCACCTCTAGTGGCCTGTACTACTAGTATGCCGGAACCACCTCTAGTGGTCTATACGACTAGCACCTACTTGGATCCAAGGTGAGCATGTGGTGCGGGGTGAATAATATAAGCACTTACACCAGGGGTGCAGGTTATGAGCTCTCAACACAATTCACATCCACAATAAATCATATGCACAGCATAAAACTCACCTGATACTCACATGTGCGTCCACAGCACCATTTAACATATATACATCAAATATTAATTCATATAATTCCTATATATGCATGCATGGCATCTTAAAACATACTTTCATTTAAATTCAATTTCTGGGAAAATCAATAGTATATAGGTAAATACAGAAAATACTGCCCACTCACCTGGAGTTCGCCCTACAACTCTCTAGCACAACACATCAAGGCGTCATGACGATCGGCGCCTAGAACAATAATCAAATCAAACCTCAGAATTCATATCGATAGAATATATAATTTATATAAAACACGTCACTACGTAGTTCGATCCGGAAGATCTGCAACTCAGATTTCCAATCCATAACTTTCAGAGGTCCACAGTATATCTCTGGAACAACATCCTAAAATTTCTTTACCATCCAACAGTCGGATCTCCGTCAATTGTCGAAACCAAGTGACGGTTAACATTCTATTTTACTAACTTACAACTCCAATTCCGGAAGATCCGTAAATCAGATTCCCAATATGTAAGTTCCCATAATCCTCAAATATTACGTATTACAACGTATCAAAGTTTGGTGACGATCAAACGGTCAGATCGTCAATTCACATTTTCACCTCACCACGAATCGTAACTAACTTAGGTTCAATTACTCAATTTACGTCAATCAATTACCAAACTGAACCTAGAACATTAAACACATGCTAAGAATAACATTGGCGGGCCACTGGCCACGCGCCGCCGCACGGGCCGCCCGGCTCGCCGGAAAATCCAACTATTTCCAAAAATTCTCAAAAAATACAGAAATGAATATCTCAAAGAGTAGAGCAAACTTTATACCTGAGGCCAAGTTCAATTTGTCCTAGAAATGCTCCAATTCCACCAAAACCGTGAAGAACCCTAGAATTGGGTGTTTTCAATTCGACCTTCAAATCAACTCCGCCGTCCCAACTAATGCTTGGGCTTTGTTCCAGGTCCTAAGGGAATGCTAATGGTGTTAGTAATTGAAAAAAAAACATTTCAAGATTTGGAGAATTTGAAGGCCTAGGTGTTGATTTTTGGGTTAAACATGAAGAGGGAAGGCCTAGGTGTTGATTGGGAGTGGTACCTTGATCCAATTCGTCGGAAAATTGAACGAGAACGGCAAGAAACCGCCGGTTTGAAGGCATGGGTCTCACGGGTCAAGGATGACCCGTTTCCTCCTTTTCCCCCATTCATCACTCTCCCTCCTTTCGCTCCTTTCTTCTCCCTCTGATTGGTCCTCGACTTTCTCTTCTTTCTGGTTGGCCCAACTCCTCCCTCTCTCCTGTTCTGATTGGGCATCTTTGCCCTTCTCTCCTCTTTCTTTCTTTTCTTCTTCTTTTTCTTCACATACACACACACAAAAACCTTTCAACATCTTTTTATTTTTTTTTATTTTCTTTCCCTTACATCCAAGCCATCCATTTCAAATTTCCTTTAATCTGGGCCATCCAAATTTTAATAATAAAATTCATAAAATGTCCAAACTTCAAACTTTAAAATCTTTTTCATTATAACTCCAAATAACGAACTGTCTGCGCCCACGCTTTCATAGCGACGAGTATTACGAGGATATGTCAAGAAAACAAATCTTAGATGGCATGACACAACGATTAACCTCGAATAATGCGCGTGCCTAAAAGGGCATTTTTGTAAAATCCTTAATTAAAACTTTAAAAACTCTTAAAAATTAGGGACGGGCTGTCACAATCTACCCACCTTAAAAAAAATTCGTCCTCGAAATTTACACAATCTTTACAATCCATCAATATCCATAAAACAACCTGAAACACATCTCTCTCATTCGATCTTTGTCTCCCAAGTAGTTTCTTCTGCTGAATGATTCCTCCATAAAACTTTCACAAAACGCACGATCTTAAACCTCAGAACTTTATCCTTCCAATCCAAAATAATCACTGGTTCCTCATCATAAATCAAATCCGGATTAACTTCCAAAGATTAAGGAGGAATCATATGTGAAGGATCTGAAACATAATGTCGAAGCATCGAGACATGAAACACATTATGTACCTTAGATAACTCCGGTCGGGGTGTGTCAATATATATATATATATATATATATATATATATATATATATATTTGTAATCAAACAAATGTCCTAACAAAAATCCATCAAAATCATAAACCAATCCCTAGAAATCTTTAAAAATCCATATAGAAATCCTTAAAAATCCTCCTCAATCCTAGATGCCAAGGCGAAGACTTAGAAGGGTGTAGTCAAGGTGTAGTCAACCTAGGATTTAGGAAGATTTTTAAGGATATCTATATGGATCTTTAAAGATTTCTATGGATTTGATTTATGATATTGATGGATTTTTCTGAGGACATTTCTTTGATTACAAATTTATATTTGAATGAAAAGAAAAGAGAAAACTAAAGGGACTCATTACAAGAACACATGGATTCTGTGACGAACGGGTTTCGTTACATAGACAATAGATTTTGACACATATGCTTATATGTTACGAACTTCTTGCATCACAAGAGGCGTCACCTATGTAGTGTCACCTATAACTTACGTGATGAACTTTACCATTCATCACCTATTATATCTATATGTGACACTTCTTTCCCTCACATATTCGCAACTCAAACTCCATACTTCAACAAAAATTTGATGCTTTGGGCGTCACTTATTATTAGAATATGTGATGACTAATGCTTTCATCACAAACTGTATTGAATTTCTATTTTTTTTTCTAGATTGCTTTTTCCCATTTAATTATTTTTATAATTTTGATTGATGATTGATCTATAATTGAAACTTTAATTTTAGTGAACCAAGAAGATGAATAATATGAATTACCTCGTAATGACATTTACAATTTAAACATGTACAAGAGAACATATGTGGTTTAAAAACATTAAACTGATGAAAAAAGCCCTAAAACAACCTAAGTCTCCCATTGTCATGCACAATAAGACTACATGAAACCCGATTGGGCCATGAAAGACTCTCACTCTGTTGCTACTATTGGTTGGAAAGCGCAGGTAAGTTCTCTGACAAAAAAATTTCAGAAACCTGTGGAGATACAAGAGAAAAAAAAAATAAAAAACTGAGTACTATCCCACGTGTAACAAATAACAAACTCACTCAATTAATCTATACTCAAAGTGCACAAATTCTAGCTCTGTATAATTCAATTTTTTGCCAAGGAAAGTAAGGCAAATAACAAAGATGTGTCAAAATTTAATTAAAACCGAACCCGAACAAACCATTCCTAAAAAACAATAAGACCA